TATCTGTATCTGTATCTGTATCTGTATCTGAATCTATATCTATATCTACATCCATGGGAGCAGACCCTCATTGATTTTATCCCTAAGGAGTCACTGATTGTTCCCACATCCTAATTCCTGACCACCTCCTGCAGCATAGCCCCTGGTGTGGAAGGAGAGATCCCTGGGCACGGTGACCAGGACCCCAAGGAGGGCCTGGTTCTCTGAGGGCACAGTCAGCACCTCCTTCCAGGAGAAGTCCCAGAGACCAGGATCTCCTTCACCTCTTGTCCTTTGTATGTGCAGACACCTCCCCTATGCAAATGGCCACCAGACACACACACAGTTGGCGTCCACTTAAATGCAGGGCCTCCTCACCCTGGAGAATACTTTCTGGGGCACGAGGACCTCACCTGCAAGGCATGACTCCCATGTGGCTCTTCCTCTTCCTGCTGTCAGCTCCCAGATGTGAGTGACTCAGGGCTTAGACATGAGGAGATGGGAATCCTGCTTGGGCACGGTGACCAGGACCCCAAGGAGGGCCTGGTTCTCTGAGGGCACAGTCAGCACCTCCTTCCAGGAGAAGCCTCAGAGACGGGGACCTCCCTCACCTCTTGCCCTTTGTATGTGCAGACACCTCCCATATGCAAATGCACACACAGCCACCAGACACACACACAGTTGGCGTCCACTTAAATGCAGGGCCTCCTCACCCTGGAGAATACTTTCTGGGGGACGAGGACCTCACTTGCAAGACATGACTCCCATGTGGCTCTTCCTCTTCCTGCTGTCAGCTCCCAGATGTGAGTGATTTAGGGGCTTAGACATGATGAGATGGGGACCCTGCATCTGAGCCCAGGACTCACTGTGTTCTTTCTGTCCCAGGTGTCCTGTCCCAGGTGCAGCTGCAGGAGTCAGGCCCAGGATTGGTGAAGCCCTCGAAGACCCTCTCCCTCACCTGCTCTGTCTCTGGATTCTCCATCACAACCAGTAGTTACTGCTGGCATTGGATCTGCCAGCCCCCGGGGAAGGGACTGGAGTGGATTGCAAAAATATGTTATGAGGGGAGCACTTACTACAGCCCCTCCCTCAAAAGCCGAACCTCCATCACCAGAGACATGTCCAAGAACCAGTTCTCCCTGCAGCTGAGCTCCGTGACCACCGAGGATACAGCCGTGTATTACTGTGCGAGACACACAGTGAGGGGAAGTCAGTGTGAGCCCAGACACAAACCTCCCTGAGGAGACAGCAGGGCTGGGCTGCAGGGGGCGCTCAGGACACCAGGGTGGGGCTAGGACCAGCACAGGGCCCAGACCAGGAGCAGATGGAGTTAAAGAAAGATACCATTTCCTGCTCCATCTTAAATTAATTTTGCACGAACACTCAGCCACAGAGCTCACAGAAAGACCTTTCCTAGGTCTAGTTTTAGGTATTGTATTTGTAAACAAAAAAGGGGGCTCTGTCCTTAATCTCACAAAACTCAGTGACTGACAGGACCCTCACAGGAGGCTCTGATCACACATCCTACCTGGGCAGTCCTAGGTGTGGGCACGCCCAGGCCTATGACTTCTTTACTGAAAGGCTCATCTTTGCCTTAAGCACTTCGTCCATTGTTCCTGTGCATCTGGGTTAACACACCTTTGACATCAGCATGACCACTCTCAGGAGGTCACCTGTTGTTAACTATCCTGGCATCTAGTCCCCCTCTTACTCTCTCCCACCTCCATGTCACTCCTCACCTTCCCTCCTTAACTTCAAATGCACAAACACAGCTGCAAACAGTTATTCTCTGGAGCATTTGAGGTCTTTGCTTCCCCACAGTTGTCATCATTTTGGGTCCAATAAAATCTTATAAAACATTCCCTACATGTTTGTATAGTTCCTACATCAATATGTTGTCTTTTCTTCATTTAAAACATACGTTCATATACGTTTCTTCCCCGTGTGGAGAGGGAAGTGCACACAATTATTAAAAACCTGCTACCTGGGAGGATGAGTTCAAATGAGTTCACAGGTGTTGGGAGTAAGACAAGTCTGCTGTAGGTTGTCATGGAGGTAAGTGTCCAGTCTTTTCCCAGCCCAGTCAGCGTGACTGGGAGGTTGAGCATCGACCTATGAACCTGGAGGTCACGGATAAATTCCTTGGTCAGGGCACAGGCCCGGGTTGCAGTCTTGATCCCCAGGGGTTGGGGGGCAGGAGGCAGCTAATCAATGATTCTCATCATTGATTTTCCCATAGCTCCCACTGGCCTCCTCTTTGGAGTCAAGGAATGTGTATAAAAAAGGGGAAGGAAAGAAAGGAGGCTCCCCCAGCTGTGCCGTCTCCCCCTTGACACTCTGGCACATTCCCCTGCTGGTTGAATCGGCATAAAATAAACAACATAAATGAACCACTTTGAAGTCATTGACATGAGAACCTCTAAGCCTGTGGAAAATATTTTTTAAGTGTTTATTTGAGCCAAACTTGATAACCAGAACAGCGAGCCCAGCCTTTTCTGTCCCCGGGATCGGTTGTCACCAAGTCCAAGAATGAAATCGGGAGAGAAGATTTAAGCAAAAGCGTGGAGCGTTTATTACAAGCAGATTCAGGCTCCCCGCATGGGGAGGGGCCCACTAATGGGCTGCCCCTGAAGCCTGTGGTCTCAGGTGTTTATGTGCCACCAGCCTGCTCTGTGTCTACCCGTGTGCCCACCTGATTGGCCCCTCATTGTTCTTGCCCACAAGGGACCTGCATGTCCCTGTTCCCTTGTGTGCGTTCACCTTACTGTCGCAGGCCCTCCCTAGTTTCCCAGGCCTCCCGCTCTGAGTCCAGAAACATTGTTATGTCTGCCTGGTTAGTCCCTGTGGTTAGGGTGCTGAGACAGCCGTGTCTGCCCTGCCTACCCTCCACCTTCCTTTGTTTCCCATAAACCCTGCCCTGTCTATCTGCCCATCAAGCTAACTCCCCTCAAAGCCACCCCTTCTGGACATGTGTCTGGGGCCTCCAGGAACAAAAGCTCATCTTCCTAAAACACAGGGCTTCCTTACAAACACCAGAGTCCCTGCTCAGCCCAGGACCCTCCTCCTGCCTCTGCTGGCATGGGATGGGCGCCAGGACCCCTCTGTGTTCTCTGTTGATAGATTTCCAGGCCGTTGCTCTTCTCCCTTCTCATTCTCTGTTTGTTCAAAAGGAGTCACTGAGCAGAAGGGGAAGAAGCAAAATGGTGGCATAGGCGGCTCCAAACTCTTGTTCCTCCACAAAAAACATCAAAAAACATACCAAAACTATCAGAACTGGCATCCGTTAGACTCTCAAAAACAATCAGAGACCTGCAGCTACTGAGCAAACCCCGAGTCAAGTACATGCTACTCATAAAGGGAAGGACCCCGGCTGTTGTGGTTCAGGGGTTTAGTGTTGGCCCAGGAGCTACCAGGTTATGGGTTTGATAGTGCATCTGGGCACACGCCCTGGGTTGCAGGATCAAAACCCAAAAGGAAGCATGCAGGAGGCAGCCAATCAATGATTCTCT